TGCAGGATTTCCTTTGCCACTATCCTCAACAACAACCTTCCATGTCAGGGTCCTGGATGAAAATGATAACCCTCCTTTGCCAAGAAATATCTTCATTGAAGTGAAATATTTTGGTAGTTTCTTTCAGGGAGGCATGATCGGTAATGTGCATCCCGAGGACCCTGATGAATCTGATTCATTCACTTGTGTCATTAAAAATGGGCAAGTTACCATGTTTACAATACCCAATGGTACATGTGAGCTGTGGTCATCTCCTTTTCAAGGCGAGGCCACGTTTAACATCACTATTGAAGCTACGGACCAGCTTCACTTCCCAGTAAACAATAGTGTCTATGTTAACTACAAAGGTTTTACAAATGCTTCCATTGACAGCTGTGTATTGTTCTATGTGTCTTCATCGTCAATGAAGGAGTTCTTGTCTAATAAGTATTTGAGGTTTGTGAAAGCTTTGGACAGCCTGTTTAACCTGCAGGCCTCAAAGACTCATGTTTTTGGAATTAAGCACATTGGCAATGAAATCCTTCTTTTGGCTGCAGTCAAAAACTACAACGGCCAGTATCTAAGCAGAGAGGTGGCGAGTGGCATATCTGCTGGCCATAAGAAGCTACTGGAAGCTCAGAGCAATGTGACAATTTCTCACATCACCAGTGATCCATGTCTCACAAGCCCCTGTCACAATGGGGCTTCATGCAACAAAAACATCTACATCAGCCAAGAGGTTGCTGTCCTGGAGAGCTTGGCTGTCATCTTTGTGTCACCCCAGAAGGAGATTCTTAATTGTACCTGTCCGGCAGGCTTCATGGGTTCACTGTGTGAGGATGACATTGACGAGTGTAACCCAAATCCCTGCCGGAATAATGGCACATGCGAGAATAATGCAGGAAGTTTCCACTGTCACTGTCTGGATGGCTTCTCTGGCTCCATCTGCTCCGGAGATTTTGACAGCTGTTTGAATGTGAATTGTCAAAACGGTGGAACGTGCATTCCCTCCCAGGATGGAGATTACTGTCTCTGTGTGCCCGGTTTCACAGGTATATCTTAATTGTGAAAACAGTACAACACATAGCATTGAGTGTACATTTAAAACAAATTGTGGTTAATTCCATTTTCCAGGTGAGTTGTGTGAAGACCTTATAGATCACTGCAGATCTGCTCCGTGCGTTCAGGGCAGCTGCATCAACCAGCACTCCGGGTTCTCCTGCCATTGCCCCTTTGGTGAGAATAATCCCAGTGAAATTATGTATTGAGCAAGAGGATGGCTATTTAGCAAAGATGTTACTGGAAAAATGACTAGAAACTAGTAATCTGTTATTGTACAGACAAAAGATGTCTTAAAGATGTCAACATCACCTTATCAGCAATTCTAAATGTTACTGATTAATGTAATGCATGTTTTGTGTTGTATTTATACATATAATTTAATTTCAGTTAATAACATCTATTAATTTGCTGTCCACCTTTACTCATAAATTCATCTTTATTCCAGGAGTCAGTGGAGTCCACTGTGAGGAGCACAGTTATGGCTTTCAAGAGCTGTCCTTCATGGAATTTCCACCCCTGGATCGTAGGACTAACCTTATTTCTTTTGAGTTTGCGACAGTGCAGGAAAACTGCCTCCTTTTTTATAATCCTGGAGGATGGTCCAGCAGGGAGTTCATGGCACTGGAGATCCTCGGTGGGACGGTCCACTTCTCTTACGACCTGGGTTTGGGGCCCGTGAGAATGCAGACCCACAAACAAGTTGCAGATGGATTGTTTCACAGTGTTGCTATCAGGAGGATTGGTAATGTGAGTTTTAAACATGTCCGTGTAGATTGTTAATCAGGGAGCACTATTCAGGGGGGAAAGAACAATGTAGATTCATGTAGAGATGTATGAATTCTACAGATGGGGTCTGTGCTCGTCGACAACTGTACAGATGTTGAAAGCGATGGATTTTGTTTCTCAAAGAATCATGGTGTAATCTCAGAAAGGTACCAGTGACAAGGATCTCATAATCATTAAGTATTTATGTTTGTTTGTTTTTTTGAGTCCATCCTCCTCCTTTTCTGCCTGTATTTCTAATTAGGACTCTTGATGTTGGGAACATGAATATGACATTTGGAGGAATGAGAACTCTTGAACTCATTTTGCTGCATCCAAGGCAGATAAAAAGTCACAACTTCGTTGGATGCATTCGAAATATTCATGTTAATGGGATCCTGTTTAGACCTTCAATGGCCCTGGCAACATTTAACGTTTATGAGGGGTAGGCGAGTTACACTTAAAACTCATATGTGGGTTTGGTTTTAATGTTCGTCCTCTTTGTTTTTAGATTTATTTCAGTGTTTGCATTGTATGTTTTTTCTATAAAGGTGTCCTCGAGCTACAGAGCCTGCATGCAACAGCCTTCCATGCAAAAATGGCGGCGTGTGTCACGATCTCTGGTCTGATTATCTTTGTCAGTGCAAAACCCCTTTTACTGGAAGAAACTGTACTACAGGTGAAGGAGAAAACCAAGTATACATATGGGTGTATAAGTGACTTTTGTTAGGAAAGTTTGGTTAGATGTTATGCTTTTTTGTGCTTTTAATGCAGAAATGTCTGAGGAGCTTGTGGTGAGATTCAATGGGAATGACTACATTGAATATGTCACAAAGGAGGGATTCAAGAGAGATTACCTGATGAAGAATTTGATGGATGATGAAAAAGTGGGAAGTGTCCAACACCAAGTCGTTTTAAGTATCCGTTTTAAAACCAAAAACGACGGAGTGTTGCTCTTTGTTCTTGGGCTGACAGGTTTTTTTACTCTTATGGTAAGTATGAGATGTATTTAACATTTAGTCACGTATTCCTACGGATCATGTGAAAAAAAGTTTAAATTTGTCTTCAGATAAAGGACAGTAAGCCGGTGTACAGCTTCAAGGAAACGGTGTCGGGGCATCTGTCAGAGGTCACTGTGGGCCATCGGGTGGCTGATGGAGCCTGGCATGTCCTATCTTTGGTCCGCAATGGGAAAAATACAATTCTGTCTTTGGATGGTAAACTAGTCCTAAACAGCACTGAGCAAAGCATCGATCTAAGTCCTGTTAGTGTGGAAAAGACATTCCTTGGTACTGCTCCTCCAATGGAAACAAAGCTTCAACTCTCAGGTGATCTGATGACTTATTAGATTTTATTAGGACAGATTTGGACATTGTTTTGCATTTTAATACATTGTAATTGTATAGAAATGTTGAGCTGACACTTTGAGCTGCACTGATCTATTTACATTCTTGTTGTTACAGGGTTCAGAGGATGTGTGCAGTATGTCAACGTGACTGGCCACACGCTGCCTTTCAGTGGCCGGAGTCTGATGGTGGAGGTCTATCCGAGCCGGACCCTTCTCCGGCCCGGCTGCAGCTCTGCAGGCGTCTGCCTGCCCGCGCCCTGCTTTGAGGAAAGTCGTGTTAAGAAGTGTCCCACCTTGCAGAATAGATCTTGTATCTGTTTACAGAACATATCGGAACATTTCTGCGACATCTGTGAGGAAACCGCTGACCGGTGCCCAGAAAGGCAGCAGGGCAGCACGCCCCTGTGGCTCGTTGCTGGGATTCTTCCTCTTTTCTTGGTGGTTTTGATAATCTGCGGTGGATTGTACAAAGCAAGACAGCGCAATACGAAGAGTCAAATAAGGGAAGGAACAGCAAACACAGCTTTTAGTTTTGATGAAAACGCAGCGTTCACAGGTGCTGTATCTACAGAGAAAGGGAACCCTTATGACCCAGTGTGCCCCGGACAGCACAGGTCAAGTATGGAATTTTACTGTGATGCCAGAGAAGAGAACAACACAACACATGAGCTGGAGTATTATGAAATTGGTAGTGTCTGTGGTACACTTCCCTCAGACAATGACTCAGTGAAACTCAGTTGGCGCAAGCATCCATTTGACCCAAAACATGTGAAAGCTGACACGAGACGGTGGAAAAGTCTAAAGAGGCTTATCACTGGGTCTAAAAAAGGAAGCTATGATGAAGAAAAAAAGCCAACTACTCCCTCCCGAAACAAGCAGAGACTGTCTCCTTCCACAAAGAGATTCTCTCAACAAGAACTCCTGGAGCCATCACAGTGTCTCACTTTTGAAGAAATTTACAAGCTTAATGCTCCCTTGGAGCCACGATTGTCAACTCGAGCCCCCCTTCGGCCTTCCAAGTCCACCATGAGGATGGGGGCTTTTTCAGCGTGTGAATCCGACAGTACATCTTCCGAGTCTGAATATAGACAGTTTCATATCCCCACTCAGAAAAAATATAGGCAGGATCAGTCGACTCCACCAGGACGCATCTTAAAGGAGGAAAGCATCCTGCCTGTTCCCCTGTCTACCAGCCCCTCTGCTGGGGGTCAGGAGGAACAGGAGAGAACTTCCCTCTCTATCATGGAACCCTGGGAAAATATTTTAGAGATGCATCTTCCTTTTAGCAGCTACGTACCTGTATTTGAGGATATTGCATGTCTCCCCTCTGCCTGTAGTTTTAGCATTGATATGCAGAGTGACATAGAGGAAGTTATATGACTTGTGGTCAGGTGGATGAATGCAACCTGTTGTAAATGTTTCCGTTATAATTTCACAAAAATGCTCACAGGTGATTTTTATCTTGCTGACCTCTAATAGTTTCAGACATTTTTAATAAGTAAAATCCATGTGAGTGTAATACTTCTTTATGTGGATGTAAAATGCAAACAAAAATGTCAGAATGCTGTCATTAATGTCTCAGAGCGAACTAGTTTTAAACTGACTTTCTTTTTCCTTACAAGTTATCTGAAGATGTTCATGTATACAAATAGTCAATGATATATTCAATGGGAACTCTGTTAAATATGAATGTTTTCCCTGGAAAAGGGTAAACATTTTTAAGGACTGTTAAAATTGTGCAACTTATCATTATACATTTTTGAAAATTTCTATTTATCAAGGAGATATTTTTACAATAGTTTTTTAATTTTCCTGGCATCAATGTTTAAATATTTTCAAGTTGAAATATTTCTCTATTTAAATGTTTGATGTGTTTTAATACAATTTTCAATCAAATTAAGCATCTGAATGATGTAAATCACTTCACTGAGTTTTTCATCCACATTTTACAAAGGATATGACT